AACTAGGCAGGAGCTGGGCTGGGAACAAGCTGGCACAGGAGCTTTTGCAGTTGTGGAGGAATGCTTTGAGCACCCGCCAAATTGCTGCTGCTGCTGGGATTAAGAACTGGTCTACTGACTCTTCCCACCAGTCGGGCAGCCTACTGCAGGCCAGCTGCCCTCCTTGGGTTGCCTGGTGACTGGCGCTGCTGCAGGCCCTGCTTCCTGACAGCCAGTGTCAAACCTGGGAATAGAGCCCAGGTTTTAGGAGTCCCAGTCCAATGTTCTCTCCACTAAGTCACACTGCTGCTATGTGATTCTTAAGTGCCCCCTAATCTCCCAGGTGTATGGCTACACTATGGAGACTATACTGGCATTGCTATGCTGCCCTAACCCCTTAGCATAGATGCAGCCTATACCGGTGGAAGGGGTTTTTCCAACAGTGTTGAATGAAGTTATCTAGGTCGATGTAAGCAGCTATGCGGATCTAGCCTGTGGCATAGACTGTATGTCAGGGCCAGGGGTGTGGTGTGTCCCACCCCTCCCCAATGTAGCTATCTCAGCCTAGCTTTTAATTGTAGATATCAAGCCCTAGTTGTAGTGGGATGGGGATAGTGGTTGTGCTTTTGGAGTGTGTAGTTGATAGCCGAGTCTGTGGGAAATCTCAGGCATGGTGTGTGTGTCCCAAGAACTTGACAGTTTCATTACTGGTGGTTACAGTAACTTTTAAGCATGTGAGAGAAGACTCTCTCTCTCTTGTCCAGTTCAGCCTCTCCTTCCCAGCCCATTAAGCCATTAGCATTTTAGAAGCTATGTGTACAAAAAAGTTGTGGAATCTATGAACTTCAAGAAAAGCTGTTTGGGGGCAGTGAGGGTTGGGGGGGGCTGTATCATAGGTACCTCTTGCTCAAATGACCTCCTATTTGGATCACTAAGCCTACCCTGCACCACCACAAAGCACAGCAAATTTCAAGACTAGCCAGGTAAGCATACAGATTTTAGAACACTTCGAAAAAATTCCTTTAAACAGAAAGATCCCGCCACCTTAACTGAAGCAGAGAGGTTGTTCTGCTATAATATTTATGAAATTAATCAGCAACTGCTTTGCTATAGTCAAAGCCCCAGCCCAGGATAATCTTGAAAGCATGGAAGTCTCAGAGATGTGACATAGCCCATTCACCTAAATGTGATGGTCTCAGCTGAATGAGAACACTCCCTATAGCCTGAAACAGTAGCTCTGAGATGTGTGAACTGCTCCATTCTTAGCTCCTCACCCCAGCAGTGATTCTCAGACTTGTAGGGGTCAGGACCCATTTGTAAATGTTTACGGCCTGTCTTGACCCAGTAAATAGTCTGGGGTTGGAGGCCCTAGAGTGGTTTCGCTTGGGTCCTGCCTCACTGGCGGGGTTGGGTCCTGCCCGGCACTCACCCAACGTTGGCAGCTCCTGGCTGGGCTTATGTCTCTGCTCCGGGAGTTGCAACCTCTAGGGTTGCTGCATCGCTAGGTTCCGCCCCTCCCCGACTGGACCGAATTTGTGTGAGTGGAGTTGTGACCTGGCCCATAAGATTGCAGGGCCACTCACTCAAATCCAGCCTACCTGGACTCCCATCATCATGGTGGCAGGGCCAAACCTGAGTGGTGCTGGGACCCGAAAGGTTGCAGTGTCTGGAGCAAGGAGGCGAGCCCAGCCAGGTCCATGGGACAGTAGCTGCCATGCCACCCTTTAAAATATTCTGGTGACCCAATTATGAGTCCCAACCCACAGGTTGAGAAACCCTGTGCTTGTGCATGTTCCAAATATGCCTGACCTCAGCTCCCCACCCAGCAGGGTAGGGCCTCCCCAGATCCCAGCTCACATGGGGGTATGGAGAGAGTTCAGACCAGTCCAGTCCAGTCCAAAAAGGCAAGCCCCTCCAGAACCGGTGCACATGAAGGGCGGCCATGAGGGTGGGTCAGAACCCAAAGATGGCAGGGCCACCCCAGATCCTGGCGTATACACAAAGACTTCGGACCCCCAGATTTTGGCTTGCACACTGTAGAGAATGTGGGGCTGAAGCAGCCCTTGCCCCTATTCTCCCCCAGTTCCCCTGCCACTTACTCCCTTGTCCCCTTCTCATGTCCCTCCCCATCCCCTCTTTACCTCCCTTACCACCTATCCTTATTTATTACCCTCATTTCAGCCCCATATGCCTCTTACCCCATTCCCTCCCACTCCTCTGGCCCCTAAAGTCACTCTCCTCCTAGCAAGCATTCACATTTAATTTTTTTCACAAAAACACTTTATGTGCCCCCCTTCCCCCCCAAACAAACAAAAACCTTGCCAGAGAGTTTTTAGTAATATGTCCTTGAACCTTTTGCCCAACTTGGGGCTTGAATTGACACTGGCTGTGTGGGTCAGGTTCGAAGCACTGCTGCTTATCCCCTTGACCCATCCAGTTGTGTGAAACTTTCACGACTACAAACCCTGATGGCTTCTCTGTCCGGGCATGGTCAGTGTAATCAGTTTAGCGCAAGGACCCAGGTCTAGTGCGGCAGACTGATGTCTCAGCAACACTGCCTTTTGGACTGAATGTGCCAAATCTGTGCTTGGCTAGTCTGTCTGTCTAACCAGTAGACCACCCTTTTCTTCCAAAGTCAGGTGTAGGGGTCTGGAATCTCAACCTTCTACTGCGATCTAGCAAATGGTTATGTAATGCACTTGTAGAGTACATTTAGCCCAAGTGGTAAGAGAGTCTGTGGTGTAGAGCTGAACGTTCTGTGTCAAATCGTGCTGTCAAACCATGTTGGGAACGTTGTGGTTCCATATCAGATAATTTCTGTCTTTCCAGTTCAGTTAAAGTTGCAGTGAAACTTCTTTTTAAAGTCTTCCCCCAAAAGTCAGATCAACCTTAACATTGATAGGTCAGGGGCTTGACACAGGTGCCAGAGTATCACTTCAGGCAGAGCTACAAATAGAGTTCAGGTCCCTCATATCAGAACAAACTATTGTCCGCTTAGCTTTCGGAGAGGCAGCATTGCTTAGGCCAAATGTGTGTGTTCAGCTAAACTGTACAAATGGGCTACTCCTGCGTCTGCAAAGCACTCTGAGACACACAGGTGAGACTGTCTAACACAGAGTTGCATGTGATGACGTGTGTGTAGGGAAAGACGGGAACTGCAGGAAGAAAAAGGATGGTCAAGACATTGGGCTAGCACTCAAAGCTAGGTTCTGTACCGACTCCTGCCACAGGCTTCCTATGCTTCCTATCGTGCCAGGTCACTGACACTAGAATACATGGAGGTGGCCGCTAATTTTTCCTTATTTGTTCGGTGCCTCAGTTTCCCCATCTGTAAAAGTGGATCATATATTCCACCTCACAAGTGGTGTAAGTTCACTAATATCTGTGAAGCAGTCCGATACTGTGCTGAGGGAGGTCATATAAGTTCCTAGTTAGATCATTCGCCCCTTTTGTGAACAATTGGGGGCTACCCCAACCCTCCAGCCTTGCACTCATTGGGGACTCACCAGCCCTTCTGAGCCTTAGGAAGCTAAAAAGAGCCAACTCTCCATGAGACTGAGGCCATTTTGATGCTTTGGGTGAACACTAGACTTTCTTGGCACCCCCTAGAGATGGCAATAGGAACTGGAGACATCATTGTACCTTATCCCACTCTAACCAGAAACAAATGTTATTTCCGCTGTACCCAACGCAATGACAAACCAGACTCCTATTCACAGGGTCCAGCTGGGTCTTCAGTGTGGCCTGTGCAGCAGCATTGATACGGGAAGTACTTGCAGCCAGCTACCAGATATGACCCTGGATTCAGTGAGCACCCTCTCCTTGGTTTCTAGCCGCATGATCCTAAATACAGAGGCTAACGTGTGTGGCGGGGGGTGTCCTACAATTAGGCCATGTCTACATTGAGAGAACTTGCAGCTGAGTAACTGCATCATTACTGAGCAGCTTCACTTGCCTAAATCCTGCTGCGTTTCAGTATAGCCTGTCTACATGGGGAGCTTGCACTGGTGTAACTAAACTGATGGCATGACTCTGGTGCCGATTTTCATGTAGACAAAGCCTTAGTTTCCTGCAGCTTAGGCAGACACTGCCTACTCCAAAATCCAGTAGCAGGTGGTGGCATCCCAACAAGGGGAGAGTTAAGGTGTTACTCCACATACTTCACAACCTTAATTGTGCCACTCCTGGTTTTGTAAGCTTGTGGCTTGTGTGTTTGACAAGAAATTGCAATCTTTGGGGGCGGGGGGATTGTAAGGAGATGTGAACAGAGTCTTTCCTGCTTTTCTCTTGTTTGAGTGTGAAGCCTGATGTCCCGTGTCTCAAAAAGGTACGGGGGAGCAGAAGGCCCTGTTGTGCAGCAACAGCCCTAACAAATTCCTTTGTAAGTGACTCTTCCGATAACGAGTGGAGGGCTTGGGAATATTATTGCAGTTACTTTTCAAGGTTTGGAATAAACTCTCTGGGTGGTAAGCAGGAGAGTTCAGTGAAGCCAGTCCCCTCCAACCTTGCCCATTCTGTCCTGAAACTTTTGGGCTCCACTGTTTCACTCGCCTCTTAAAGGGATAGGGCCCCAGGAAGCGTTCTCTTTAATATTTCTCTCATTTTAGTCATACTCTTTCTGGACAGCCAGTGCCTTCTGATTGCATTGCACTCCTTCACAGGAGAAATTCCCAGGCTGATTGGTAAGGAGCTGGCTGGTCACAGGGTTCTGGTTGTCTTTGGTTCCAGCTGAGAGAAGAGATGGAAGTATTTACTGCATTAAAACTGACTAAGAATACGTTATCACGCTTCCCTGGTTATACTTTCCATGGTAACACTTGCTGTAGCTGCCCCAAAAGTGTTATGCCCTGGTGATAGGGATGGGAGATGAACATCAGACAGTCTCTCCAGATGTGATCCATTGGAGAACTCCGGCATGGCTGCGTCTGGGCTCTGAGACCTTGCCAGGCTTTGAAGAGAGAGTTTTGCCCGGGCCATTGTTTGGTTTGATTCAGCACCTCCTTGCTTCTCTCCCTCTGTAGGTGTCGCTACCTGGCAGTTCAGCTGTCTCCAGCCATCCCTGTCTTTGCAGTAGTTCTTTTCCTATTCGCGATGGCTATGCTTCTGCGGACAAGTTTCAGTGATCCTGGTGTGATCCCCAGAGCCCTGCCTGATGAGGCAGCCTTCATTGAAATGGAGATTGGTGAGTGAAGAGGCTCTTGTCAACAGAATCTGTGCCAGAGTACCTTCCCTGAGGCCTTTGTGAAGGAGTGTGAATGTGCGCTAGAGCCTGGGTTGGTGTGGGGAGTTTGCTGGGGAGCATATCTTCCCTACTGACTCTGTGAGAGGAGTGAGTGTGCCTGGAGAGTGGCGGTGGTGCCCTGCATGTCCCTCAGTTCTGGAAGGTGCCCCGCCTCCCCAAAGTACCCATCCATTAGCTCACATGAGTTCTTTCTCCTCCTGCAGTGCTGGGTTTACCCAGGGAATTCCCCTCTCCCTCCCCAACACCCCACTCACTCCCACACAAGACCATGATTGGGAATGGGAGCAGTCTGGGTCGTTCTCTCCCTTTCTGGCAGGTGATGTCGGGCGCAGGTACATCCTAGCAATGGTTTGCCCCTGTTCCTTCACTCAGCAGAGTTCTTGGCGTCTCTTCACCTGGCCCCAAGTTCTTAGAGCTGTGAACAGAGCTGCTGCCGATGGCTCTGAGCATTGCAGGCTCTCCTGGTCTTGGTGTTAGTGAGATGGAACAAGCAGTTATTGCTGAAATGGAGTGGACTTGGATTAACAATTCTGGTGTCTGATTGGCTATTGCTTTCAGAGGCCACCAATGGAACTGTGCCTCAGGGTCAGCGCCCGCCTCCACGTATCAAAAACTTCCAGATCAACAACCAGATAGTGAAGCTGAAGTACTGTTATACGTGCAAGATCTTCCGGCCCCCCCGTGCCTCGCACTGCAGCATCTGCGACAATTGTGTGGGTGAGTTAAGACAGCACGATGCCCTTGCCATGGGGGAGACCTCAATCTAGCACTCATGCCTCACACGGTAGCATTTGGGACATAGGAACTGCGAGATGGGATCGGATCGAGTGTACATTTAGTCCTGTATCCTGTCTCCACCAGTGGCCAATCCCAGCTGCTTTGAAGGAAAACCCCACAACAGCAGATGGGGGATAATCTGTCCCCTATGAAGGCCTCATTCTAATCCTAAATAGTCAGAGAATGGTTTAAAATCTGAAGCTGGAGGCTTTATCTCTCTTCCAATACATTTTTTTAAGCATTACTATTTTAGCTCTGGATATTCTTGTTATTCATGTAATTGCTCAATCCTTCTTTGAGTCTTGGTAAATTCTTAGCCAACAACTTTTTGTGGCAATGAGTTCCACAGTTTGTGTTGCACAAAGTATTTCCTTCTATCAGTTTTGAATTTGAGATTGGATGTGGAGCCCAGTGACGGAGGCTAGGACTGGGAGCTGTTTTGTGTGTGTGTGTGTCAGGGGCGGGGGGAAACAGATCGGATGCAGTGCGGGAAGGGGAAATGGGACTGGTGGCTGGGCAAGGAGACTGGGACTCGGCTGAGAAGCCTGAGGAGTGGAGAATGGGACTGGAACAAGGTGCCAGGGATGGGGAAGAGACAGGACTGTGACAGAGACAGGTTGCGGAGGACAGGGCAGAAGGCGGGAAGCTTGTGAGGAGTGGGCAGAAGACTTTGTGCCCGCTAGAGTGCGCTCTCCTCCTGTTTCTGGAGTAGAACCCAACATTCCTGAGTCTCACCATTCTGCTGCTGTCAGCAAATATCTGTGAAACTCACTGGCAAAGTGCATATTTGTTTTCTTCCCCATCTAGTGGTGGGCCAAATAGAGGATAACAACCTACTATTGCTATCAGTTACTCCATTAGCTCAAGCAGCAAAGGTCTGGGGATGGATTTAACGCTTCCAACCCTGCTGAAAACCCATGTAGGTGTCAATGTGATGGAACTTATTTTCAGATTGCTTTTTAAAAAAACCTAGGAAATTATACACACAACTGTGTTAAAAGAACATTAAGGTTGCAAAGTCAAAGCAGTTGAAAGATAGGAAATGCCACAATTTAGGTCACCTGTGTGTATGCATTATGGTAGTTTTTAATACTATTTTGGGTGCAGGTTCCCTGCCTCATTCAGTGCACAGGATGGATGTATGCTCGCTTCATAGGCAGCTATTCAGTAGTTTTTCTCATTGCTTAGTGAGTGTCCCCTGTCTTTTTTACTGGATGCTATTCAAACTCTTCTTTGGAGACAGAATTACTAATTTTTGTGGGGGCTTTTCTGTTGCACTCATCACTACAGTATCGGAGTGTTTTGCAACCACTGGTTTGACTTCCCCACACCCCATGAAATGAAGGGGTGGGATTATCCTCATTTTACAGATGTGGCTGAGGCACAGAAAGATTAAGGTCAAAGGTGTCGGCTAATTTTGGGTACCCAATCTGAGACATCTAGGGCCTGATTTTTGCCAAGTATTTAGCACTGCACTTTTTATTGTTACCTCCTTTTGACCGGAGTGGCTAGTCAAACTTTGGGGCCCTGTGGGTTTTTCCCACTAGGAGGGAAAATCTTGTTTATTTACAAAGATTATACATGAAGTCTCATAGATTCATAGACTTGAAGGCTGAAAGGGACCATCATGCTCATCTAGTCTGACCTTGTGCACATCACAGGCCACAGAACCTCACCCACCCACTCCTGTAACAGACCCAGAACCTCTGGCTGAGGTACTGAAGTCCTCAAACCTTTATTTAAAGACTTCAAGTTACAGAGAATCCACCATTTACACTAGTTTAAAGCTGCAAGTGACCCCTGACCCATGCTGCAGAGGAAGATGAAAAGCCCCTGGGATTTCTGCCAAGCTGACCCAGGGGGAATTCCTTCCCAACCCCAAATATGGAAATCAGTTAGACCCTGAGCATGTGGGCAAGACCCACCAGCCAGACACCTGGGAAAGAATTCTCTGTAGTAACACAGAGCCCTCCCCTTGTAGTGTCCATCACTGGCTGTTGGAGATATTTGCTGCTGGCAGTCGCAGATGGGCTACATGCCACTGTAGGTAGTGTAGTGCGACCATTGCCTCCATACACTTATCATGCTCAGTCCTGAAGCCAGTTAGGTTTTTTTTATTCCCCACTGCTCCCCTTGGAAGGCTGTCGCAGAACTTCAGTCCTCTGATGGTTAGAAACCTTGGTCTTATTTCAAGCCTAAACTTGTTGATGACCAGTTTATATCCATTTGTTCTTGTGTCCATATTGGCACTTAACTTCTCTCCCTCCATGGTATTTATTCCTTTGATGTATTTGTAGAGAGCAATCATATCGCCCCTTGGCCTTCTTTTGGTTAGGCTAAACGAGCCAAGCTCTTTGTCTCCTCTCATAAGGTAGGTTCTCTATTCCTCAGATCATCTTGATAGCCCTTTTCTGAACTTGTTCCAGTTTGAATTAATCTTTCTTAATCATAGGATACCAGCACTGCACACACTGTTCCAGATGAGGTCTCACCAGTGCCTTGTATAACGTTACTAACACCTCCTTGTCTTCACTGGAAATACCTCAGCTGATGCATCCTAGGACTGCATTAGCCTTTTTCATGGCCACGTCACACTGGCAACTCATAGTCATTCTGTGATCAATCAATGCACCATTTCTTTCTTCTCCTCCTCTGTCCCTTCCAACTGATAAGTCCCCAGTTTGTAGCAAAGAATCTTGTTCTTAGTCCCTAAGTGCATGCCCTTGTACTATTAAATTCCATCCCATTTCTATTACTCAAGTTTTCAAGGTCGTCCAAATCTTCTTGTGTGGTATTCTGGTCCTCCTCTCTATTAGCAACACCTCTCAACTTTGTGTCATCTGCAAATTATATTAGCACACACCCACTTTTTGTGTGAAGGCCATTAATAAAAATGTTAAATACAATCGATTTGAAGACCAGTCCCTGAGGAACTCCAGTAGTAACCTCCCTCTGGCCTGACAGTTCACCTTTCAGTATGCAGTCTCCCCACTAACCAATTCCTTGTCCACATTTAAATTCTCATATTAATCCCCATCTTCTCCAATTTAACTAATTATTTCCATGTGGAACTGTATCAAATGCCTTACTGAAATCCAGGTGGATTTGATCTGCCTCAGATCCTACCCCATTTACACTGATGTTCACTGTTTGTTATCCAGTCACTGTTAACTTTTTTGGTGAAAATTGAAACAAAAAAGGCATTTAATGCTTAAGCCATTACTGTCTTTCTTTCCTCATTGAGTAATGGACCTACCCTGTCTTTGGTCTTCCTCTTGCTTCTCACATATTTGTAAAATGTTTTCTTGTTACCTTTTGTGTCCCTACCTAGTTTTATCTTGTTTTTTGTCTTGGCCTTTCTAATTTTGACCCGACATGCTTTTTTTAATATTCATAATAATTTAATAATTTGACTTAGTTTCTACTTGTATCACTGTTTTTTGGGTTCAAAGATCTCCTGGTTAAGCCAAAGTCATCCCCTACATATTTCCCATCTTTCCTATGCATTGAGATGGTTTGCTCTTGTGCCCTTAATAATAACTCTTTAAAATGAAGTGGATGTTCTCTTGGTGGAAGAAATAGTATGTGATCATGGAATTAAAGACTGTCATCATATGTGGCATACAGGAGGCAAATTAAGGTTACATGGGAAAGCTTAATTCTGGCATTTCCTATCTTTTGAGTGTTTGACTTTGCAACCTTAATAACATTCTTCTAAAGTTGTGTGTGTGTGTAATTAATAAATATATCCTCCACCTTTATCTGCAACAGCTGTGAGCTGCACACTGTGGGAAGCTAAGAGGATGAAGGGGAGCAGTTGCTGATTTTTGTAACTGAAATAGACATTAGGTTAATGGGGCTGAGTGGGTTATATCTAATACCAGAAACAATAGCAGTGCACTCTGGGAGCAGGAACAGCAGTGCTCAGTATACTTCCCATAGAGCTGAATACCCCACTAGAAGTGACCTCAGTGCTTCAGGAGCACTCTGCTCAATGGAGGAGCTTTGCTAGCCCCTTTGCCTGGTTCTGTAGGAGGATGGGGTCTCTACCTGGGGACACGCTCAGGCCCACGTATCAACCACGCTCTCTGTCTTTGTGGTAGATGGAGGGGGTCCTCAAACTCTTCAGTTGTGGCATGGGGTGTTGGTCTGGAAAAGGCTAGGTATCTCCACGCTAGAGGCCTTCCTCTTCCAGGGCTGCAGCATGGTGGAGTGTTTCCTGTGCAGAGGAGCAGGGTAGGAAGTGTTCTTCCCACAAGATCCTTCCCCCTGGAGACTTAGCCTGGTACAATCTGGGAGCGCTTTCTGCTGATGGAGGCACAGGAAATGGAAGCCCCTTGCCTTGGGCTTGGGCTAGGGCTTCCCCAGCTGTGCTGGTGGGATGTGTTGGCAGGGCTTGGGTGCCCCGCCTCGCCCCACACTGCAGGTGTGCTGACGTCCTTCTCTTGCTCCCCCAGAGCGCTTTGACCATCACTGCCCCTGGGTTGGGAACTGCGTGGGGAAGAGGAACTACCGCTACTTCTACCTCTTCATCCTCTCGCTCTCACTCCTCACCATCTACATATTCACCTTCAACATCGTCTACGTGGCGCTCAGTGAGTCCTGCCGGTGGGGGGAACAGCATGGGGAGCTGTGCTGTCGGGGTGGGGGTTGGGTCAAGATCAGCACAGAAATCAATAGATTGGAGGAGGCACGAGACCTGTCTTCTTGGACAGCGCTGTACATTAACCTCTCTCATTTGTGTTGCCCAGAGTCCCTGAAGATTGGCTTCCTGAACACGTTGAAAGAGACCCCTGGAACATATCTTTCCCCGCTGCATGGAGCATACCTGCCTTTCCGACCCCTCTGCCCTGGTGGGGGAGGGAGGTGTGTGACTTGTGTGTAGCGTCTCCCCACAGGCTTTCTGGAGGCTTTCTTTTTAATTGGGGGGTGGGAGTGGCTATAGGCTGTGGGGCGATGGGAGAGGAGACGGTCCATGTGTTTAGGGGGAGCAGAGGGGAGCGACACAGAGTGTCATGAAGCAGGGTCAGTGGAAGATAGGTGCTGTGCCATGGGGTTCTGAATCCTTAACCAGCTGCTCACGGTCCTGGAGGTGCTTATCTGTTTCTTCACCCTCTGGTCAGTGGTGGGGTTAACCGGATTCCACACCTTCTTGGTGGCTCTGAACCAGACGACCAACGAAGACGTGAGTGATGTTCCCCACTCTCTCCTATCTGTGTGCTTGCCCCTCCCCAGCTCCTCTTCAGAGCCATCTCCTCCCCGCCCCCCACTTCTCATCAGTTCATCACTGGGTGAATTCCCCTCACACACAGCAAGGCCAAACCCCAGGCACAGGCTGGGATGGAGGGAGGGCATACATCCAGGGCAGCACACGGGTTCAATGCTGCCACAGGCCCCAGAAATGCAATTTAGGTCAACCCAAGCTTATTCTGAGGCCTCCTTAGGCCTGCTGCTCAAGAATGGGGAGGGCCCAAATCGCCCCTCTTCAGCCCCTGCCCAGCCAGTGGATGCACAAGGAGTCTGGGACCCCACTTTCAGTCCCCAGGGGGCTAGGTTCGTGCTAGGACTGATGGTCTCCATGTGTCAGCAATGGAAATAACAGGGTCCAAGCCCTGCTCTGAGAGGCAGCCAGAGCCCATGCGGTGTGTAACCGTGATGAGGGGCACCTGTGCAGTGCCCCAGTGCATCAGTCAGTGGAGCTGAATGCTCGAGAGCCGTGATCTGGCAGGGAGCTCATACCCAGTGTCTTTGGGGTATTCTCTGCTTGCAGATTAAGGGGGCGTGGACTGGGAAGAACCGGGTGCAGAATCCCTATAGCCATGGGAACATTGTGAAGAACTGCTGTGAAGTGCTGTGTGGGCCACTGCCCCCCAGGTAAGAGCTGAGGAGCAATTGCAGGCTTGCATGGCACTTGGGGCTGGAGGGGCACTGGGTCACAGATGCAGGTGTCTGTGGCATAAGCCCTTGCCTTGCCAGCCCATTACACAGTGGGGGGCTGTTCAGCCATGCATGGCTTCCTCTAGGGGAAAGGGGAGTGGTGTCTGTACTCAAAACCTGAGGGAGAGGGGGCCTTCTGTATGCGCTTGTAGCGAGGCAAGCTTGTGCTGCCCTTCATCCTTCCTTAGCCAAGGGGCAGCTCCTCTCCCTAGGGGCTTCGGCCTGGCAAGAGACTTTGTCCCGGGGAACTGGCCTTTGCTCCTGGCCTCCCAGCCTCACTTCGAGGTTTCAGGCCTTTGCTCAGAAGTTCGGTGCACTGTCTCACATGGGGCTCTGGTGCTGACCGGGGAGCAGAGGAGCTTCTGTTTCTGTGAGCCATGCAGCCAGAACAGACACGTGCCTGTGGCGTTTGCCGCATTAGTGCCCCTCCCCTGGCAGTCGCCTTGTTCCTGTCCTCGCAGCAGGGATTGCCTTGGGCGAGGCCGGGCTGTGCTCTCAGGCCCTCCCCCGCCACCCCCTCCCCAGGCCTGCCTCGGGTGAGGGAGGGCTGTGCCCTCAGCCTCCCCACTCTGTTCCTTGCAGTGTGCTGGACAGACGGGGCATCTTGCAGCAGGAGGAGAGCGGTGCGCAGGGGGACAGCAGCACGCGGGGGCCCAGCACTCAGGAGCCCGGCGCACTGGAGAAGAGCAGCACTCAGGAGCCCGGTGCTGCTCAGGTGCTCAGTGCGCAGGCAGTGGGCAGCACTCGGGAGGGCAGCAGCAGCCCCACGCGTCAAAGTGCAGTAAGTGACCCTCTTCCCCATGCAGCCAGATGCCCTGTACTCCGCTCTGGCTGGTGATGGTAGCCATAAGCTCCAGCTCTAGTCAGGAGGACAGACAGGGGCTGAGAACAACCTGCAATAGGGAGAGTGAGGCAGTTGTCATTGGAGTAATGCTAGGTCCTGAGCTGAGGGATCTCCTGGAAGGAGTCTTGCTGCAGAGATGATGCTGGCAAGGGGGTGTCCGTGAGTGGGGGAGAGCAGGGCAGCTGCAAAGCATCTTCCAAGCAGCTGGGCTCCTTTGCACTCTCTTGTGGCACCCTGAAGGCAGGTGTGGTCAGCTGGGGGCTATCATCCTGGGAATCACCGCCTGCCAGTGTTGGCAGTAGCTGGCCCAGGTCCGGGCGCTCACTGCAGTAGGAGGAAGCCGTGGTGAGTGAGCAGGGGGCCCAGAAGCCTGGGCCCCGGCCTGATTTATCACTCGCTGTGGAGCCCTTTTTCCTCCCCATGTTTCCATCTCTGGGTGAGGGTGTTATGGCAGCACCTGTTTCTGCAGGGCAGCTCTATCTCTTGGAAGCCTGAATAATCCACTTGTTCTAGGTTCCCTGGGCCCCTTTCCCCCTCTCTGATCTGGCTCCTCCACTCGCCCTACAGCAGCACTCGGTGGTGCCAAACCTGAACTGGGAGTGTAACCTCATGAGAGAGAACAGTGGCCGAGGGGGCTTCTGGGCTCGTTGGAAGGAGGGGGGTAGGCAGGGGCAAATAGAGAGTTCCCTCTTCCACTCTTCACCCGGCCCCTCTAACCTTGGCCTGCAGGTGAAGAAAGGCAAGCAGGAGCCTGAAGCCATTGCTGGCCATGGCGGAAGCAGCAGGGAGAGAGAAGAGGTGTTGAAGCTATAGGACAATGTTGGGGCAGGAACAAATAGGGATAAATTGTCCTTGAACAAACTGAGTTTAACAAGCAGAGGAAGGAGGCTCTGCAACAGTCTCTCAGTAGGAGCAGTGGGGCAAACAGCCTAGCCTGATAAATCAAATAGGATTACATGACAGGATGGCCTGCAATAGCTGGGACTGAACTGAGTGATGCAGGAGGGCCCTTCCCGTCCCCTGTTCCCATCCCTGCTTGACCTCAATGGGCGGGGTTGTCGAAGGCAGACTGCTGTTGCCTGTGGTTTTGGAGGGAAAGACACACTGTGGGTTTGGGAGTGTCTGCTCCATCCCATTACTCTCTCCTCTTCCCAGGTCCCCATGCTGCCGCTGAGCCCCACTGGGATGCCAGAGGAGACTCAACCTTCTGCTGTGGAGCTCCCAGCACAGACCCGGGACGATGGGCCAACTGAGCACTAACCTCTGCTCAAAAGGAGAACATTGTTTGTTCTGTCCAATCAATGCCAGAAGTGATTGCCAGGCGGAGAAGGCCGGCTGGCTGGCAGGCAAGCAGACCACCCCTCACTGAGGGGAGCAGATGGGCTGGCTGGCAGGCAATTCCTCATGGCCATTTTGCTTTAGTCTTTATTCACCTTGATTGTGGACAGGAGTGCGCCTGGCCCAGGTCATTGCCAATGGATTCAAAGAGTGAGCAGAGCATGTCAGTCATTGGTACAGACCTTTACCCTTGCAGCTGGTCTCGGAACAGGCTGAAGTAGGACTTCTCACTCTGCAGTTGGTCCTTAGTGCTAAATGCTAGCCTGGCCATGGCCCTCTCTTTCTGCCCCAGCAGTCATCTCTGACGTCGGCAGCTGCCCTGCAGTGGAGTGGCAGGATTGAGGAATCATGATGTGAAGGTGACTGTGACCATGGCAGTGTTCGTCTCTCTCCCTCCCCCTTCTCCCTCCGTCTCTGGCATTATTTTATTGTGTAAGGTGGTGGGGTGGCCAGGAAATACTGTCTTGGTGCCAACAGGGCCAGAAACACCTGGGCAGGCAATCCACCTGGAGATGGTTTTCTGTAGCTTCCTTCCCAAACTTCCCCATTAGTGACTAGCAGGCATTAGAGGTCCTTGAACAGTCATGGAGTGGGCAGCCTCCTTTGCCCTTTGGGGAGTGCACCTTTCACTGCAGGAGTGTCAGGGGAGAGCAATGCCGGGGCAGAGCTCGCTACTCTCTGGACCCTGCACCAGCTGCAGAGCAGTTGCACCAGGGAATCACGAGGGAAGAGCCCTCTTGGGTCATTTGCACTCTGTTCCTGGGGCCAGGGCAGGATTTGTTCCCTAGTGCCTTGTCAACTCTTGTGTTTGCTGCCCCAGGCAGTGGGGCTTCCACCCCTTGGCTGGGGAGGCTGTGCCCCCATTGAAGTAAATGGTGAAAAGCTCTTTCCCTCTCTCTGCCCTGGTTGGCTCTGAACTCCCTTTGTCAGGAGGAGCCTAGGCCTCACTGCAGCATTCCAGGGCCCCCACGTGCTTTTCCACCTGGAGCAGCTCTGGCTGCAAAGGGTTCCGCCAGCTGGGGCAGGGGACAGGCGGGCCTTTCACGGGGGCTGTTGCCTTGGGAGAAGGAACTCTATGGAGTCTGACTCCTTTCTCCTCCTGTCTGCATGAGCGAGGCTCCTGGGGGCTCCCAGTCTCAGCTCGAGGGCTGCTGTGAGGCAGCTTAGCCATCTCCTTTGTGCCATCTTCCCTTCCGTCTGCCACCAAGAGATGTTGGGTGTGGCTAAAAGGAGGAGCCCTTCTGTGGCACCCCCCATGCGCCCCTGGGGGAGGGGTGTCCCCTTCCCGTCTGTCTGTTGTAATTCCCAGTCTCTGCTTAGGGGAAATGCCTGATTCTGCTCAAGAGGGCACTCTTATTCTCTTATTCCGTGCCACTTGTGGTATGTCCTAGGGTGAGACCCTGGCGTGGAGGGAGGGCGGTATTGGGGTCACCGAGGCGTCTGACCTGCTTCCCCCCAAGCTTGAGGCAGGAGCCCCCCCATCTTGACCCACATTTACTGGCCTGTTATTAACTAGTTCTCAGAACGGTCTGTCTCAGCTGGCATTGGAGGTGATCCTAGCATGAGAGACCTGCACTGTGCCCTGTCTCCCAGCACTCCCCGTACAGCAGGTGTGTGCTGAGAGTCCTGAAGGGCAGTGCTCTGCAGAGTAGAGGGGAGGTTGGAGCTGCCCTACCTCTCTGGCTTGAGGGCAGCACTGTTGAGATCTGGGTGCAGGATCCTTCCTGTTCCTCCCTTGGCTGTGTGGCCTGGCTTCTTGTCCCATTCAGCCTTAAAGCTCCCACTCTATGCTGGCTTGATGCAAGTGGGATGGCCAGGGTAGAAGGCACAGAGGCATTCCCACTTACCCCCCCATCTCTATAGTTGAGCACAGTTCAAAATTGCTGCCTCCCTTAGCTCCAGCTGGAGTGTGTTGTCCCCTCGAGAACTGTCCCCTCTTCCCCTGCTGGGAGAGCTCAGAGGAGGAGCCTTGAGTCTGGCTGGCCCCTCTGAGTTCACCCACCCTGTGCCAGGTTCTGGGCTCTCCACATCCCTCCCCACGGAAGCCTTAGTCCTGTGGGTGGGACTTGTCCCGGCTGCATAGGCTCAGCGCTCTGCCACTCCAGTGGTGCTCCACTCCCTGCCCATGCTAGTGCCCCCTGCCTGGTGGGGACTGTGTTGGAGGCTACAGCCAAACTTTTCCACCTGCCCCCAACATGCTACCGACCAAATCTCAAACTTGTTGCAAAAAATGTATTTTTGTTTTTACTAATCTATTTTCTGATGTACTGTGTCAAACTCTGCCTACTGGAGGGGCCCTCTGGTACCTCTTGCACGGTGGCTCCTTGTCTGATCCGTTAAGTTTCTCAATGAAGGAAGTTTTTTTTTGTTTTTTGGATTTTTTAAACAAATGAAGGAATCCTAATCAGTTCGAAAGCCTCTGAGCTGTGGTCTCTTCCTGTGTATGTCTGTCAACTCTCTTTCCTGAGGCATCCCTTACTCCGGAGAGCCAGAGGGACCGGGCCCTGTTTGTAAAGAACCATATTTTCAGATTTTACTCAGTGTGTTTTAATGTCACTGGGGCAGCTCCGCACCCTTGTGGGGAGCTCTTGGCAATACGTGGCTGAAGGGAAAGTCGACTGGTTGGGTGAGCTTGTGGGGTGGGGATTGAGAATGATCTTGTGCTAGCTGCACACGGTGGGATTGTGGGGGAGAAAATGGAGCAGGTTTAAAAAAAAAAACCTGTTCTGAAGAGAGGAAGAACAAAGGCTCCTGGACCTGCTGTAGAAGTGGGGAGCCCTTTTGCCAAGAAAATCTTGCATGCTGGGGGATAGGAGGGAGGCAGCATCCTCTCCACCTGGGGTCTGTCTTCCAACTGGCTGAAGCACAGGGAAAAATGGCCTTGTACTAACTTCCCCCTGAGAGAGGGGAGATCCCAAGGGTCCCAAGCCCCTTCACTAAGCCTGTGGTGCAGGCAGGAGGCCAACACACAGAGTTGCAGGTTAGAGCATGTTTTATTGGGGTCAAGCACAAGGGAGTGAATTCAACACCCAAACCTACATTACTGCAACAGAAAGGCAGAGATTTTATGGGCACAGGAGTCCTGGAATTCAGGGCTAAGCTTGCCACAGACATGGTGCCAAAGGTGACTCTGCTGTAAGCAGATGTATCTCCCATCAGCATTAGTGGGTGTTGTAGCCTTTTACTCCAGGACTGGAATTGGCCCATTACCCAGTCACTCAGCATATTCTGTGGGTAACAGCATATGGGTGCAGCTCCAGTGCAAGACTATTTCCTGCCCTTTTAACATAAGCTAACCGAAGAACTCTTGGTGCAGCCACATTGTGCCAAAGCTGGTCCAGCCCTTTTGCCCTGGGACAAGCCCCAATAGAACCCAACCTGCTTGCTGTCTAAAGCTAGGTGGGCTCTTGCTGCTCTTAATGCAGCACCCTCTTGCATCCATCAGCTGCATCCGTAATCGACGTGCCCCAACGCTGCAGTGTTAGTCTGTCAGGGACAGCCCTGAACAGGGGTGTGAGCTCTGTAGGGAACACATGAATTCACATTGGGGGTGCCCCCATTCTCTGTTGCACAGGGGGCTCTTGAGCAGTTGTGGGCCCGGGGACTGAGCACCAAGGATCACTTCAAACAAACCAAGTCAGTATCGGCTTCCTCGGTGCACACGCAGTGTGTGCCTTCCCAAGGCAGCTGTTCCGATGCACAGCGCCCGCTGCAAAGCGAGGACTCTGCCCACACGAAGGCAGAATGGCCACACACTGGGGAATGTTGCGAGCACAATGCAGGGCCTTTCCAACACAAGGTGCTGTCTTTCCTACCAGCTTCCCAAACAAGTCTGCTGGCCTGAGCCAGGTTGGCCTCAGTGGGCATGTGTGGCAGGCTGGAGTGATGGCCTGGTCTGTTGCTGTAGTGAGCTGGCCCGCGCCTTTGGCTGGGGGAGCTGCTGCAGCCTGGCCATATTTCTAATAACTCAATGTCCTGTGACGAGGAATGGCAAAGCCCCTGGAGCCAAACCCTCTGCTTTCTGGCCAAGCTGGTCGCCACATGGCTAGGCTCTGCCTTGCAAGGGACTCGCCCCTTTCTGAGGAATGCCAGCTTGGGAGGCTACAGACTTCGGCTCCCAGCGCTTGCTGAGTCTTGATGGCGAGGATCCTGTGTGGCACCCATCGCCCTGCTCTGCTGTCTGTCCCCCTCCACCACCCTGAGAGTTGCATTAGAAACACAATGGTCTCACTTCTTGTTCAGTTCCCGGCTCCCTCACCCTGTTAGCACCAGCTCCTAGGTTACCTGTAGCCTCCCTTGCAAAGAGCCTTTGATGCCAGGGAGCTTCAGCTGCAAGTGGGCATCTCCCATTGCATAGCCTCAGACACCCTCTTGGATAAACTGTGTGGGTTTGCATTGCCCAGGAGCTTCCTGGATCCTTCCCATTCGAAGGGTGTCCTGCTGACTGAGGCCTCGGCCATTTGGTAAGGCCAGGCAGAGGGTGTGAGCAGACCACAGTGGGTGCCAGGCAGAGGGGCAGGAAAACACCTGTTCATGGCTAATGCACAGGCTCTGAGGCTGGAGTTTCTAACGGAGATGCTGGAGGCTGAAGGCTGAGCTATTTGCAGAAGCAGGTCCTTTGTCTTTGATAGGAGCGCAGAGAGGGGTCCCGTGCAGCTCCCAAAGGGGAGATGTATCCTGGGGTGGGGACCTAGGCAGCTGCCCCATGGAACCATAAAACAGCCCCAGTGTCTTCCCCTGCAGGGCTCACATGAGTGTTCCCAGCATGGGGGTGGTCATCTGTGGTCCAGGAATCTCCCCAGATGTTGGTCAGGGTAGAGTGTGCCCCTGGGGTGTCATGTCCTGTCCTCCCTGCTCTGCAGGCTCAGTCCCTGATGTGGTGTAGTGCTGGGAGGACAGTGCTGGGGCAGGCTCAGGAGGACTATTCTAGAGAGAGGGTCTGAAGTTGCTCCTCTGTGCTGTTCAGCTCCATCTCATCCCGGCCACTCTCCAGTGTCTCAGATCCTTCGAAGCAGCCCGAGTCGCGGGGAATGTCCCCTTTGGGGTCTGAGGTGGAAGGTTGCGGCTCTGAGCTCTCTCCTTCCTCAGCCTCACTGGCCGCTGCAGGGGGGAGAGAAGCCAAAGCGTTAGAGGCTAAAGGGCATGGGCTGCTTCCCAGAGAGCTCTGAGCAGGGCCCAGCCTGCCCTTGGCTGGGCCAAGCTGGGGGTGGGAGGGTGAGGCTGCTCCCTGCATGCTTAGGGGCTGTGCAGAGGCATTCTGGGTAATGAGATATGACTTGCTCTAAATCTAGCCAGCTGCACTGGGTGAGGCCCCCTGGCTTATTCTGTCATTTGTGCTGCTTCTCCCCCAGGTGCACAGAGCAGCTTGCAGCTAGGATGTCTCCTGGTGGCTCGCCCTTGCTTGGCACTGGGGTGGCTCCTTGGCAGAGCAGTTGCCATGTGGGATGTAATTTGAACACTGGCTGTGGTAAAATGCAGGGCACTCCTGGCTCTGGCTGCCAGCTGGGGCCCTGTAGGGGAAGTCTGTCCTAGTGGCTAAGAGTCAGTGGATACAGCCCGCCTGCAGACTCCTCTGCTTCCCATGTCCTTGAACGGTGGATGTCTGTGCCAATAGCAGCAGGTGGATTCCAGGGAAGGGCCAGACCTGGCCTGGAGCTTACTGGCTGTTATAGAGCAACTGCTCAGAGGGGAGAGGTCTCTGGGTGCAGGAAGGTAGCAGAGCGGGTGTTTGCCTCTTACCGTCATAGTCCAGCAGCAGGTCAGCAGCTGTGAGCAACTTGGCACGATGCTGGGGGTCCATGATGTTTAGCTCATTCAGGTGGGTCTCCCGCAGCTCCTTGAAGTCATCCAGGGTCTGGTAGCCATTCAGTAGCAAGGTGGAGATGTGCTCCTGGGGACAGAGACAATCAACCTCACACAACAGCTAAGCCTGTAGAGCGTATATCCTTGGAGACACTCATCTAGCCTTTGTATCCCTCAGCTGAGAGCTTCACCCTGGGCAGACTTGGACTCCAGAATCTCAACTTTCATTTAAAAACCCTGTTCCTAGCACATGAGGTTGCAAAAATCCCCGTGCAAAGAGGAACAGTGTGACCACTGCAGTGAGATCTGCCAGCTGGGTATTGAATGGCCCTCTTACTCCAAGGGCCGATGCTAGTCTTATCATGGCCTTTAACCCTTGTCAGTATTAACTATTTTGTTGCCAATTTGATTAACAGGAACAGATGTAGGTTCCAAGGCCAGAGGGGCCCACTGTGACTGTCATAAACATACAGCTATGGGTAGCATAAAATCCCTCCTTTACCTGAAAGGGGGTAAGAAGCTCAAATCACCTGGTTGGCACCTGACCAAAAGGACCAATAAGAAAAGAAGATACTTTCAAATCTGGGGGGGGGGCGCGAGGTTTTGTTTGTGCTCTCTTTGTTGTTCCCCCTCGGAACAAAGAGAGAGACCAAGCAGGTAACCCAGCTCCTACTGAAATGATACATCTAAAATTACAGAAATTGTAAGTAATAGCAAGGAAATCTTTTGTTTTAGCTTGTGAATTTTTCCTATGCTAAGAGGGAGGTTTATTCCTGTTCTTGTAACTTTGAAGTTGAGCCTAGAGGGGAATCCTCTGTGTTTTAAATCTTTTTATTATCCTGTAAAATTACTTTCCATCCTGATTTTACAGAGGTGCTTCTTTTACTTTTTTCTTTATAATAAAGTTCTTCTTTTAAGAACCTGATTGGTTTTTAGTGTCCTAAAAACCCAAGGGTCTGGTCTGTGCTCACTTTGTTAACCTATTGGTTGGTATATTATTCTCAAGCCTCCCCAGGAAAGGGGGTGAAGGGGCTTGGGGGGATATTTTGGGGAAATAGGAACTCCAAGTGGCCCTTTTCCTGAATCTTTGTCTAAATCACTTGGTGGTGGCAGCAATACCGTCCAAGGACAAGGAAAGGATTTGTGCCTTGGGGAAGTTTTTAACCTAAGCTGGTAGAATTAAGCTTAGGGGGTCTTTCATGCGGGTCCCCACGTCTGTACCCCAGAGTTCAGAGTGGGGAGGGAACCCTGACAGTGATCATCTAGTCTGTCTTCCTGTACAGCACAGACCAGAGAACTGCCCCAGAATAATTCCTAGGGCAGATCTTTTAGAAAAACATCCAGTCTTGATTTAAAAATGGTCAATGATGGAGAATCCACCATGACCCTTGCTACATTGTTCCAATGGTTAATTACTCTCACAGTTAAAATTTACAACTTATTTCTAGCTTGAATTTGTTTAGCTTCAACTTCCAGCCATTGGATCATGTTAGACCTTTCTCTGTAAGACTGAAGAGCCCATTATTAAAGATTTGTTCCCCATGTAGATACTCAGACTGGTTACTGGTTAAGTTACTCCTTAACCATCTCTTTGTTAAGCTAAACAGATGGAGCTCTCTGAATCTGTGACTCTAAGGCAGGTTTTCTAAGCTTTTAGGGTATGTCTACACTGCAATAAAATACCCCATGGCACTGAATCCCAGAGCCCGGCTCAATTGATTTGGGTGCACAGGGCTAAAAATAGCAGAGTAGACTTGGGAGGTGGAGAGGCATCTACATTCCTCTTTTTAGCCCCACAGCCCCAGTCAATTGGCCGGGCTCTGAGACGTGGTGCCATGGGTCTTTTAGCGCAGTGTAGCTATATCCTTAGTCATTCTTGTGGCTCTTCTCTAAACCTTCTCCAGTTTTCCAACATCCTTCCTGAACTGTGGACACTAAAACTGCACACAGGATTCTAGCAGCGGTCGCACTAGTGCCAAATACAGAGGAAAAATCACCTCTCTGCTCCTACTTGAGATTCCCTGTTCATACATCCCAAGATCACATTCGCTCCTTTGGCCACAGCATCATCATGGGAGCTTGTGTTTAGCTGATTAGCTGCCACAACTCCAAATCTCCTTCAGAATTCATGCTTCCCAGGCCAGAGTCCCCCATCCGGTAAATATGGCCAACACACTCTGTTCCCAGATGAATATAACACGTATTGTTTGCTTGTGCGCAGTTTACCAAGCAATTCAGGTCACTCTGAATCAGTGACCCTTCCTCTTCATTATTTACTACTACCCCTATTTTTGTGTCATCTGCAAACTTTTTCAGTGATTTTTATACTTTTTTTCCATGTCATTGATAAAAAGGTCAGATAGGAAACACACCTGCTCAATGACGATTCCCTGTTTACAGTTACATTTTGAGGCCTATCAGTTAGACAATTTTTAATCCATTTAATGTGTGCCATGTTAATTTGATGATATTCTAGGGCTTTTTTTAAATAAAAATGTGTGGTACCAAGTCAAATCCCTTACAGAAGTCTATTACATCAACACTACAAGTTTGTTGATCAAGATAATAATCTCATCATAAAAAGATATCAAGTTAGTTTGACAGGATCTATTTTCCATAAAGCCATGTTGATTTGCATTACCCTACTTTAAATTTCTATTAATCAAGTCCTGTATCAGCCACTCCATTATCTTGGTGGGATCGTTGTCAGGCTGACAGGCCTATAATTACCCAGGTCATTCCATTTTCCCTTTTTAAAAATTGGAACATTAGCTTTCTTCCAGTCTTCTAGAACTTCCCCAGTGCTCTAAGACTTATTACAATCAACATTAACATCCAGTGAGCTCCGCAGCCAGTTATTTTAAAACTCTTGGATGCAAGTTATCTGTACGTGCTGATTTAAAAATGTCTGACTTTAATAGCTTCTATTTAATATCCTCCAGAGATACTACTGAAATGGAAAGAGTGCTATTGTCATAATATGATGAGACTATATCATTATTTTTCCTTAGATAATGAAACCTTTTGCCTTTTATACATTATTATTGATAATTCTACCATTTCCATCTAGTATGGACCAATACTATTATTGGGATTCTTTTTGTTCCTAATGTATTTGAAAAATTCCTTATTGTCCTTAATTCTGAAGGCAATTGAGTTCACCTTGTGTCCCTTTGCTTCCCTTATCAGTTTTCTACAATGCGTAACTTCTTATTTAAATTCATTTCTATCAACTTCCCCTTTCTTCCATTAGTTATATATTATAGATCAAGCTGATGTGTTTATTCCACAATCCCAACTGCCTCTCATTCTTTCTCAGGTGCCAGAATTTCCAGCTGTCTCTGCCTGGCTACCCAAACCTCCAGCTACCTCCTAGCAGTTTCTACCGCATTGTTACTCACTATCAATCTAATTGCTGGTGGCAGCTTTAGAGCTGAAAATGTGGGGGCAGGTGAAAACTGAATTTAATCTAAAAACTAAATAAACTACTTAATCAGTTAATGCAGAGATGAGGCTGCCTAGTGTCCCCCGCAGTATATCAAGAATGGTTAAATTGAAACCTCTATAAACCAGCAAATGAAGAGTTAAGGTAACACAAACTTAAACCTCTGAAAATCAGGAAATACAAAGTTAAAGGTACACCGCCCCCCATCCCAGGCCACCTTAACTCTGCCCCCTGGAGCTGGCAATATCCACTGGGGAGGGTTTAGTAATGGGGCGTGTGTGATGATAATAATGAGGAACAAATGATTAAGCAGACGTGCCATAGTTTGTGTTGTGGTCTATAGATAAGAACTGCAGCATTCTGATGCCTTGCACTGCAGCTTCATTCCCCGTGTTTGCTGTGGCTGCACAGAATGGTGCAGGGATCCTATGGAGCAGGTTGGCAGAGCTGTCACTGGTATGAGAGATGAACGAGGCTGGGGCTGGTGTCAGTACCACTGCTTGAGCCCTGCCTCCCTCCCTGGGCGGGGCTGGCATACCCGCTTGCCCGCCCTGTTCCTGCGCACCCCCCTTTTGCCAAAAAAAGTCAGGGTGGCCGGGACAGGGCTTAAAAAAAGAGACTGTCCCAGCCAAAACAGGACATAATCTCCATGCTGGATTTTAGCACTGAGAGGGAAGAAAACAAAGTAAGAAAGGATACAGCCGTGGGTAGGAGAATGGACATAAGGAGGAAGGGCAGTGTGGATACCAGTCTAATAGGTCATACTGGCTGTAGAATGTCCGTACCTAATCGGGTAAAGAATGTGAGCGAGGCCAAACAGCAAAAATTAAGATGTTTGTACCCCAGTGCGAGGAGCTTCAGTAACAAAATGGAGGAACTAGAGCTACTGGTGCAGGAAGTGAAACCAGATATTATAGGGATAACAGAACCATGGTGGAATAGTTGTCATGACTGGACTACAGGTATGGAAGGGTATGTGCTGTTTAGGAAAGATAGAAATAAAGGCAAAGGTGGTGGAGTAGCATTGTATATCAATGATGAGGTAGAATGTAAAGAAATAAGAGGCGATGGAATGGATAAGACCGAGTCCGTCTGGGCAAAAATCACATTGGGGAAGAAAGCTACTGGAGCCTCCCCTGGGATAGTGCTTGGGGTGAGCTGTAGACCGCCGGGATCTGATTTGGATATGGATAGAGCCCTCTTTAATGTGTTTAATGAAGTAAATACTAATGGGAACTGCATGATCATGGGAGACTCTAACTTCCCAGATATAGACTGGAGGACAAGTGCTAGTAATAATAATAGGGCTCAGATTTTCCTAGATGCGATAGCTGATGGATTCCTTCATCAAGTAGTTGCTGAACCGACTAGAGAGGATGCCATTTGAGATTTGGTTTTGGTGAATAGTGAGGACCTCATAGAAGAAATGGTTGTAGGTGACAACCTTGGTTCAAGTGATCATGAGCTAATTCAGTTCAAACTGAACGGAAGGATTAACAAAAATAAATCGGCGACTAGAGTTTTTGATTTCAAAAGGGCTGACTTTCAAAAAGTAAGGAAATTAATTAGGGAAGTGGATTGGACTGAAGAACTTATGGATCTAAAGGCAGAGGAAGCCTGGGATTACTTCAAGTCAAAGCTGCAGAAGCTATCAGAAGCCTGCATCCCAAGAAAGGGGGAAAATCTCATAGGCAGGAGTTGTAGACCAAGCTGGATGAGCAAGCATCTCAGAGAGGTGATTAAGAAAAAGCAGAAAGCCTACAGGGAGTGGAAGATGGGAGGAATCAGCAAGGAAAGCTACCTTATTGAGGTCAGAACATGCAGGGATAAAGTGAGAAAGGCTAAAAGTCAAGTAGAATTGGACCTTGCAAAGGGAATTAAAACCAATAGTAAAAGGTTCTACAGCCATATAAATAAGAAGAAAACAAAGAAAGAAGAAGTGGGACCGCTAAACACTGAGGATGGAGTGGAGGTTAAGGATAATCTCAGCATGGCCCAATATCTAAACAAATATTTTGCCTCAGTCTTTAATGAGGATCTTGGGGATAATGGTAGCATGACAAATAGGAATGAGGATATGGAGGTAGATATTACCATATCTGAGGTAGAAGCGAAACTCTAACAGCTTAATGGGACTAAATCGGGGGGCCCAGGTAATCTTCATCCAAGAATATTAAAGGAATTGGCACATGAAATTGCAAGCCCATTAGCAAGAATTTTTAATGAATCTGTAAACTCAGGGGTTGTACTGTATGACTAGAGAATTGCTAACATAGTTCCTATTTTTAAGAAAGGGGGAAAAAAGTGATCCGGGTAACTACAGGCCTGTTAGTTTGACATCTGTAGTATGCAAGGTCTTGGAAAAAAATTTGAAGGAAAAAGTAGTTAAGGACATTGAGGTCAATGATAAATGGGACAAAATACAACATGGTTTTACAAAAGGTAGATATTGTGCCAAACCAACCTGATCTCCTTCTTTGAGAAGGTAACAGAATTTTTAGACAAAGGAAAGGCAGTGGATCTAACTTACCTAGATTTCAGTAAGGCGTTTGATATGGTGCCACATGGGGAATTAGTTAAATTGGAAAGATGGGGATCAATATGAAAATTGAAAGGTGGATAAGGAATTGGTTAAAGGGGAGACTACAGCGGGTCATACTGAAAGATGAACTGTCAGGTGGGAGGGAGGTTACCAGTGGAGTTCCTCAGGGATCGGTTTTGGGACCAATCTTATTTAATCTTTTTATTACTGACCTCAGCACAAAAAGTGGGAGCATGCTAATAAAGTTTGCGGATGATACAAAGCTGGGAGGTATTGCCAATTTAGAGAAGGACCAGGATATCCTACAAAAGGATCTGGATGACCTTGTAAACTGGAGTAATAGTAATAGGATGAAATTTAATATTGAGAAGTGTAAGGTTATGCATTTAGGGATTAATAACAAGAATTTTAGTTCTAAGCTGGGGACGCATCAATTAGAAGTAATGGAGGAGGAGAAGGACCTTGGAGTATTGGTTGACCACAGGATGACTATGAGCCGCCAATATGATATGGCCGTGAAAAAAGCTAATGCGGTCTTGGGATGCATCAGGCAAGGTATTTCCAGTAGAGATAAAGAGGTTTTAGTACCGTTATACAAGGCACTGGTGAGACCTCACCTGGAATACTGTGTGCAGTTCTGGTCTCCCATGTTTAAGAAGGATGAATTCAAACTGGAACAGGTACAGAGAAGGGCTACTAGGATGATCCGAGGAATGGAAAACTTGTCTTATGAAAGGAGACTCAAGGATCTTGGCTTGTTTAGCCTAACCAAAGAAGGCTGAGGGGAGATATGATTGCTCTCTATAAATATATCAGAGGGATAAATACCAGAGAAGGAGAGGAATTATTTAAGCTCCGTACCAATGTGGACACAAGAACAAATGGATATAAACCGGCCATCAGGAAGTTTAGACTTGAAATTAGACGAAGGTTTCTAACCATCAGAGGAGTGAAGTTCTGGAATAGCCTTCCAAGGGAAGCAGTGGGGGCAAAAGACCTATCTGGCTTCAATATTAAACTCTATAAGTTTATGGAGGAGATGGTATGATGGAATAACATGATTTTGGCAATTAATTGATCTTTAATAGGCCCAATGGCCTGTGATGGGATGTTAGATGGGGTGGGATCTGAGTTACTACAGAGAATTCTTTCCTGGGTATCTGGCTGGTGAATCTTGCCCACATGCTCAGGGTTCAGCTGATCGCCATATTTGGGGTCAGGAAGGAATTTTCCTCCAGGGCAGATTGGAAGAGGCCCTGGGGGTTTTTCGCCTTCCTCTGTAGCATGGGGCATGGGTCACTTGCTGGAGGATTCTCTGCACCTTAAAGTCTTTAAACCATGATTTGAGGACTTCAGTAGCTCAGACATAGGTGAGAGGTTTATTGCAGGAGTGGGTGGCTGAGATTCTGTGGCCTGCATAATGCAGGAGGTCAGACTAGATGATCATAACGGTTCCTTCTGACCTTAATATCTATGAGTCTGTCTATGAGTATGGTCACCCTACCGCTGGTGTCTGTCTGTGCAGGTCGCCTGTCCTCCCCTTCCCCAGAGCCCGTGGCCAGGCTCTCACCTCCAGGTTTATGCGCTCCAGCAGCTCGTGTAAGGTCTTGGGCTTGGGCCGCTTGCTCTTGCTCTGCCCCCGGCTTTTGCGAGCTGGCATTGGCTCTTCGGGGATGATGTCCACGTAGATGAACTTGAAGGAGCCCACTCTGTTGTTTAGCACCCCCGTCCAGGTACCCACGGGGGGCTTCTCTATGATCCCGATGATGTCCCCTTTCTGGGCCAGACACAAAGAGGAATCCCTTTGAGAATCTCTACCCCTGGCAGGTGGGACAGGGCTGCGCTTGTCCCACCTGCGCTGTTGTTGCTGGGTCTGTGCCCACGGGCTCCCCTAGCAGTGGCACTGGTAGGAGCTGGGTGGGGCCTGGCCCCCCACAGGACAGCTGATGTGCTGCGGGGGACAGCCAGGCAAAGGCACTGGCATTTGTTCCCTGGAGCCCGTCTGTAGCCATTCCCACGGTTGGGGGTGGGTGTCGTCCTTTCTCATACCCCTGCAGTGAGGAAGGCGAGGGCTGGGGCTGCCTTTGCCAAGCTTTTTTGCCCCACATTTTCCCTACTGGCACCCGCTGGGTCAGCTCCTCTAGTGCTGGATGGGGCTCAGCCAGGTGCTGGTGTTTTAGTACCCTACCAGCCAGCTGCTCAGGGGGGTGGGAGCGCCAGGGGAGACCTGAGGAGCTAAGCCAGTGGGAGCACACAGCAGAGACTGAAGCAGAAGAGCCTTGCTGAGGCCCGGTATCTGTGGGTGGGAGGTGGCTCTAAGCCTCCTCTCTGCCTTTGGGAGTGAGAGACTGGTTTGGGGCTGCTTGCCCTGATGCCAAGGCTGCAGTGTTCCCAAGAGTCCATGCAGCACCCTGGATTAGACTGGCCTAGGAACTGGGAGCCCCTGGTTCAATTCCCTGATCTGCCATAGAGGCCCTGTGTGACCTTGGACAGGCCCATTAGCCTCTCTGGGCTTTGATCCCCCCATGTACACTGGGGCTATGGCCCTGCTGCCTGGAGGGTGGGAGGAGAAACCCATGAGGCCTAAACCCATGATGCTCAGGTGCTGTGATGAAGGGGGGCAGAGTAAGGTGTGCCCCTGACCCAGCCCCTCCCCCCTTATTCTGGGCACTGGGAGGACAGGGAGAGGCTAAGGTAATTTCAGCAGCTCTGTGTGCCTGGGGAGCCAGCTGTTCTCTGACTCCGTTGTGCTGCAGGATTGATATAGCGGGGCCTGGCTGCAGGGCACAGGGCTGGGTGCTGGGACTGCTGGCCCCAGTCTACAAGGCTGAGCTTTCTATAGCCTGTTAGCCAGTGGGGGTGGCTGGTGGGGCTCTGGGCTGGTGGGGGCAGCAGAGCCAGCACCAGAGCCAGCCTCCCAGCAGTGGAGTTCTGCTCTGCCCAGGGAGCTGCCAGGAGGGGCCTGCCACGGGGCTCAGCCTGGGCTTGTGCCTTTGTGATGGCTACAGTGGGCCTGGGGGGTGATCCTGCTTGCTGCAATGCAGGCACCGGTGAGGCTGGAGAGGGCTCTCCTACCAGCTGGGCCTGTCCAGCCCCTGAGCCATGGGGTGTCTATGCACTGGGCCAGGCCCCGGAGAGCAGCTGAGCCGGGAAGGGGGTGTTAGTCCCAGTTCACGCCGCCTGGCGCCTTGTGGCATGACCTACACCTGTGCAGCATGGGAGTCATGTCTCGCGGGAATGACACACGAAGCACTGCCAAAGGAGTCTTGGGCCCTTCCTGTACTCTGTTTCCATTCGCACCAGGAGAATGGGCAGCTATGGTAAAGGCCCAGCCCCCACCCACTCAGCTGAGCTGCCAGCAAAGCCAGCAGCTCATCCAGCTGAGCCAGGGAGAGCCGGGGGAGAGCTGAGGCCAAGTGCGTGTGGACCCGGTGGTGTGTGTTCAGTAATAGATCGTTCTCTCTGCACCCGCCTTCCTCCTGCCCCAGCCAGTCGGGCCTTACTCACCCGCAGCTTCAACGAGTCCCTGTCGTAGGGGCTGGGTGTGAAGTCGGTATGGACCCGGGCTCTCCCGCAGAAAGGGCCACTGTAGGGCAGGCTGGGCTCCTCCAGCCTCATGCTGTCGCGGTTGCTGCCTGTGGTGCAGGGGCTGGTGCAGCCCAATTCACTTCCTGCAGCAGGGGCAAGATGTCAGCCTCTCCCGCTGTGCCAGCCAGGCCAGGGGTTTTGCTTCCCTTTCCTGAGAGCTGGCCCCACCCAAGGGCAGCCTGTGACTAGGTAAGTGACTGTGCCTCTGTCCTTTGCACTGGGCTGAGGAGTTTGTTTCCGCTGCGCCTGCCACAACCCTCCAGCTGCCAACGAGCAAGAGCCCCAGTGACACGTGTGAGATCCGCACCTAACACAGGCTCAGGGGTGCCCCTCCCCCACGGTGGGCAGAGCTGGTTCCCCCTGCTCCGCAAGGGACCGTCACCGCCGGGGCACTGCTGCTGCCTGTCCTCTGCACTGTGAAGGAACGCGCAGCTACTTCTCGCCACACCGGGTCAGGAGGCAGGATGAGGCTGCTGAGGGCCTGAGGTGAGGTTCTGCTGCCCGACATCTCCCCCACAACCCCATGAACAGTGTGTAGGGCACGGAGGGTTGCCAACTTTCTAATCACACAAAACCGAACACCCTGCCCCTTCTCTGAAGCCCCGCCCCTTCTCCGAGGCCCCACCCCCCGCTAGCTCCATCCCCCTCCTTCCGTCGCTCGCTCTTCCCCACCCTCACTCACTTTCACCAGGCTGGGGTAGGGGGTTGAGGTGCAGGATGGGGTAAGGGCTTTGAGCTGGGGGTGGGCTCTGGGGTGGGGCCGGGGATGAGGGGTTTGGGGTGTGGGAGGGGGCTCCGGGCTCCAGGCTGGGCCAGGGGTTTGGAATGCGGAGGAGGGTGAGGGCTCCAGCTGGGGATGTGGGCTCTGGGGTGGGGTGGGGTGGGGGATGAGGGGTTTGGAGTGTGGGAGGGGACTCTGGGCTGGGGCAGGGGATTGGGGTACAGGAAGGGATGCGGGATCCCGGCAGCGCTTACTGCGGCTCTGAGGAAATGCTCACCAGGTCCCTGCAGCCTCTAGGCGCATGGGCAGCCAGACAGCTTTGCCTTCGCTCCTGCAGGCGCCATCCCCCACAGCTCCAACTGGAGCCACAAGAGTCCCTTTTCAACCAGGCGTTCTGGTTGAAACCAGACACCTGGCAACCCAAAGGGCATGTACACGCGCTGCATTTACAAACCCCTGTCACCAAGTCTGAGCCCGGCTCTGTACACAGCTCTAAGGCCACCTGTGTGCATGGACGGGTGCCGGCTGCAGCCAGGGCACTGCAGTCTGGGGGTAGTGAGGGAGCCGCAAGGTCTAAATGCGAGCCTGAGCGCGTGGCTCTGAGCCTGGTTACAGCAGGTTAAATGCATGGGAGATGCACTCTGTCCAGATGAACTGAGCCAGCCCCGAGCCCCTGCAGCCATGGTAGTGTGAAGGTGGCTTCTCCCACCTTCGCCTAGGGCAGCTCCCTGGCCAGGGCTCTGCCACAAGGAGGCTGAGGCCAAAGTGTGGCAGAGGTGCTGGCAATCACTGAAGCCCTGTCGGCCCTTGTGCCGCACTGTCCCTAGGGCAGGCAGCATGTAGCGTGACCAGACAGCAAAATGTGAAAAATCGGGACAGAGGGTGAGGGGTAATAGGAGCCTATATAAGAAAAAGACCCAAAAATCGGGACTGTCCCTATAAAATCAGGACATCTGGTCATCCTAGCAGCAGGGGCCTGGGGCTGCCCTCTGAGCTGGCAGGGAAAGGGGGGAAGAACAGTCAAGAGGATTCACCCCTCCTGGTTTGGGAGCACAGTCAAGTGGCAATGCCAGAGGGCGACAGGGTGCTGTGTCCATGTGGGCTAGGCTGAGACTGCTCCAGCCTCTGCCCTTCCTGCTGGGGGTGGGCCCTCTCCTGTCTCCAGAGGTGCCTGGAGAGAGCTGGCCCTGGGAGGGGAGCTGGGAGGATGGTGGCATGTGAAAATGCCCCTCCCCGCCCGCTCCCACTGAGCAGCACGGCCCCTGCGCTCACCACTGGATGTCTGGCGGCTGAGCGGCGTGTGCACGTCCTCTTCCAGCTCCACGTACGACAAGGGCATCTTCTCGAGGCTTGGCTCCTCCAGGCTGCTGTCCAGAAACATGGGGGACATGGACCCCTCCTCCCCCACTTCTCCCTGCAGGCAGAGGCCAAGGCAATTAGTGCAGGCTGGGGCAGAGGGGCTGCAAGGCTGCAGCATGGCTGTGTCAGAGGGGCTGGTACTCAGACCGTCACAAAAGCAATGTAACAAGGGCCCGAGCTTGGCTCTCTGTGTCCAGTGGGCACAGATGCTGGGTGCCGCCTTGAGCACATGGGCTAGCTGCTACAGAAAGGAGCAATGGGAGAGCTCCGAGCATGATCACCATCTGGAATCCACAGACCTGGGACTCCTGGGTCTGAAAACTGGGTCCAGGTATATCAGAGGGGGGTTCTCCTGGCAGCAAGTGATGCTGAGTGGTGGAGTAAAGAGGAGCCAGGGGCTCACTTTCCTGTTTCAGTTGCTTGGGGGGGGGGGGTCTAGGTCAGTGGATGGGAAGTGTCCACCTAGAGCTGTCAGCCCCCCTTCCCCGCCTTCTCGTCTAGTCATTCCATTTCCTCTGCCTTTGTTTGGATTGCTGTGGCCTGGCTGCTTCACACTGTCCACCCAGCCTTCAGTGGACACGGGCTAGTCATGCGGGAGATGAAGAGTGCTGGGGTAAGTTTAAAATCACTTTGCTACAGAAGTTTGAGCTCACCCTTGTTGCTTATGGAAAGGGACAGCGAGGGGCTCAGAGAAGGCCTGATAAGAACTAGTCTAAAGTTGCAATGAGCCGGGCGAGTATCTCAGGGAGGGGATGGCTGGTATGGGGAGTGCGCGCTCCAGGATGTAGAGACTGCTCTCAGAGTTGGAAGAATGGCTTAGCGAGCGGAACCCCAACCTGATCCAAAGCTAGGCACAGAGCTGCAGGAAGCCAGCCCAGGGCAGAGGACAAAGGTGAAAAGGGGCTGGCATGAAACAAGCTCCAGAGGTGAGGGCAGAGGTTCCGACCCCACATGGGGAACCTGCTAACCCTAAGCCAGTCAGGCGAGCCCGAGGAGGGGAGGGGGGAAAGCCAGCTCATCTGACGGGTGCTTGTCCAGTGAAGGGTGGCAAGCAGCAGAACCTGAGTGATCAAATAAACTGTTGCACTCTCTCTGGAAGGGGAGAGTCAGACCCCGGGAACAGCTACCCTGTTGCCATGCAGCCACCAGCCCGTGCCCTGCCTCAGAGGAGCTGGTGGGGTGAATGAATGGGACACTGGTTCAGGAATGGTGAGATACAGGCTGGCTGGAGCACCCTCTGCCCCAACTACAGGATAACTATGTAGCCTGAGCCAGCGGGGAGTCCCCCGCCCACCACCACCTGCATGCGGGTGCTATCTGTTCTCATGCACCAGGGCAGGGCAGGCATTTATTTCCACATGCCTGCACTAGAGGCATAACTAAGAGAGGAACCCCACCCGCAGGGGTTTAGAGGTCAGACAGGCAAGAATGTTCATACTCAAGTCTCGCTCAGGATCCCACAATTCCTAAAAGGAGCAGCAGTGAAAGTGTTGCCATCACACTGTCATCGGTAGGCACCAGAGTTAAGTACCCTTGGGGAGGGAGTTGCTGGGTGGGCTGCCCCCTGCAGGCTCAGGCAGGCCCTAGCGCATCAGGTCATGTTCACAAGATTTTCTTTGCAATCAGAAGGGCTGGGAACTCTGCTTTGGGAAATGAAAACCTCGATTGTACAGGAGCCACCAGGGAAGAGCTGGGCTGGCAGCCAAGCTGGCACCAGCTCCATCTTAGCTCGCTCTGGGCACTGGTCCTTTCTGTTCTGTGGATTCTCTGAGTTCCAGGCCTTTGTCCTGTGCTGACACCCTGGGATCTGAGCACAGAGACTTGGAACCCTGCTCCTTACCTTCCCCTCGGCCAGCGCCTTCACCGCCATCTTGCCCATCTTCCTGTTCATGGTGCGGGAGATGACGGCTCTCCACTTCTTGCCCAGCTTCATGCCACTGCTCTTCCCAGTGTCATCAGGAGGTGCATTGGCTGGGTCATCCTCAGGAATCTGCAGGGACAGTCACAGCCAGTTGGAAGTGTGGGGGGGGGACAGAGCCAGAGAAGCAAGTGCCCTGCACTTCTCTCTGCCCCTCAAACCAAGGGAGGATGAGCCAGCTGGGCTGCCGCATGGGGGTTGGGAGGATGCCCTGAGCAGAACTCTCTACAGGGAAACCGCAGTGCCCCACACGGGCAAGCCCAAGCACTTGATTGTGGGGAAGAGGCATGTCTTTAGTGAGCACCAGGAGTCCACCTGTGCCACACACTGTCCCTGTGTTGAGCTGAGAGATGATGGGGGTGCGCCGGCAGGTGAGTGCCAGCCTGGGGAACAGTGCCACGCAGAGAGCAGTCAGTGTTGTGGGCACCTCCGACTCTTCTGAGAAGCTGTCTACCTAGAACAGGGGTGCAGTGTATGGACCATACACATCTGAGTGTGGAGCGGTGGGTGGAGCTGGGGCTGTAGGAGCCCAAGGGGCGAGTGGGTTGTAGGTGGGGTGAGGCCGGGCTGGGGCTATATGGGCCTGGGTCAGGCACGGACTGGTGAGGAGCTGGGACTGGGCAGGAGCTAGTCCCCCTGTGTGAGTGGGGCTAGAGGGGTTTCCCTGAGGGCAGGGAGCGGGCACGCCGTATGGCTAGGGTGGGAGCGGCAGCCTGTGAGTGCAGTCAGTTGCTCCCTGCGATGCAGTGTGCAGATACTCACGTTCTCCTCCAGGTTAAACTCCTTCTCGCTCACCACGGGGGAGCTGGGCTTGGACTTGGCGAAATCCTTAAAGCTGCTGGAGCGCTGCAGGGAGAGCTGTGGGGAAGCAGGGACAGCATGAGCCAGCAAGCCCCATCCCGCTGAGAGCCGCCTGCTGGCTAGGGCCTGCCCCCTCCTGCTGAGCGCCGCCTGCTGGCCAGGGCCCGCCCGCCCTGGCATGACACTCGGCAGGGGCCTCCCCCTCCTTTACACTCTGCCCTTTCTCTGGAGTCTGGCCCCCAGCACAGGGCAGGAACAGACCAGAGCTCAGCAGATCTGTCCCCATCATGCAAGGCCCTTTCCCACCTCTGGCATGTCGTCCCTCCCCTTCCTGGCCCCACCCTGGCTGGAGGGCTTTCCCTTCCCGTAGGAACTGCTCAGACATGGGGGTAGCAGGGCCATAATTGGCTGGTCTGACTGGTACCAGATACAACCTGGCCTCAGCGCTCCCTTTATCGGAGGGCAGAGGCACTGTCTTCCAGGCCAGCCCGCAAGGCGCGGCCAGGTGCAGTGGTAGTGTGCTCAGATACGGCATGTGCCATGGTGCCACCTCATGGCTGCGCAGTACAATACAGTTAATGTCAATTCTGCTGTCCCTCCAGCCTCAGCCTCCCTCCCCTGTCTGATCACTGCTTCCCAGCTGTGACCGCTAGGCCAGACTGCTTATACCTGGTCCCTTACACACTGGGGCAGTCACAAATTACTGGAGCTGTGTTGTAGCTCTGTGTTTTCAACAGGTATCACTGGTGTAGTATGTCCTGCAGAATGTGTGCTCAAGAGCTGGTTTACATGTCAACTCCAGGGATTGCTCTGAGTCACATCTACCAGACAAGGCAGAGGATCAATCTGTGATGTGTCACTTCAAGTCTCCATCAATTATTATAGGTGTTTCTTTATGGAGATTTTTTTCTCCCATGTGAAAACTGAGCGGTAGGATGTGACTATGTGTGCCCATTTGATCACCCTATTCCTTAGGAATGTTTGTCTGTAGATTGGACTTTAAGAAGTCCAGGCTAGGGCATAAATTATGCCTCATAAACAACATTGCTGATGTCTGATTTTAATAGCATCAGCTGCGTTCCTACAGGACAACAGGAAATTCATAATCTTTGTTTTGTCAGCGACCTTTATACAGGGGCATAGCATGACGCAGTTATTTGAATGTCTGGATAAACCTTCCCACTAACCCGTTTATGGCAGGATGGTGATGAATTGATGTGACAAGTCTGATACCATTTCTTTGGGGGAAAAAACCCAAACTCTTTGGCTATGAACTGAGTTCTGTTGTCAGTTACAAACTGCTTGGGAACTCCTGTAACTGAAAACAAGAGTTTTAACACATCCACCATCTGTGCTGAACTACTTGGATTCATACAGGATATGTCTGGCCATTTAGGATGGGCATCTTTACTGCAATCACTGCAAAAGGATCTTGAGACAGTGGGAATGAAAATGTTAAGATGGATGCTTGGAATTTACAAGGATGGTGTGTTTGGAATAAACTAATTACTGCACTCAATGTGCAGTGGCAGTCAAAAAGGCGAACATAATGTTGGGAATCATTAAGAAAGGGATAGATAATAAGACAGAAAATATCATATTGCCTCTATATAAATCCATGGTACGCCCACACCTTGAATACTGCGTGCAGATGTGGTCGCCCTATCTCAAAAAAGATATATTGGAATTGGAAAAGAGCAACAAAATATTTAGGGGTATGGAGCATCTGCCATATGAGGAGAGATTAATAAGACTGGGACTTTTTAGCTTGGAAAAAAGATGACTAAGGGGGGATATGATAGAGGTCTATAAAATCATGAGTGGTGTGGAGAAAGTAAATAAGGAAGTGTTATTTACTCCTTATAATACAAGAACTAGGGGTCACCAAATGAAATTAATAGGCAGCAGGTTTAAAACAAACAAAAGGAAGTATTTTTTCACACAATGCACAGTCAACCTGTGGAACTCATTGCCAGTGAATATTGTGAAGGCCAAGACTATAACAGGGTTCAAAAAAGAACTAGATAAATTCATGGAAGATAGGTCTATCAATGGCTATTAGCCAGGATGGGCAGAGATGGTGTCCTTAGCCTGTTTGCCAGAAGCTGGGAATGGGTGACAGGGGTGATCACTTGATGATTACCTGTTCAGTTCATTCCCTCTGGGGCACTTGGCATTGGCCACTGTCAGAAGACAGGATACTGGACTAGATGGACCTTTGGTCTGACACAGTATGGCTGTTCTTATGTAATTAGGGGAAGTGTGAAGGTGATCCCAGTTATAGAAAAGCTGAGGGAATCCAGACTTAGGTGGTTTGGGCATGTGACAAGAAGAATAGAAGAAAATACAGGAAACAGGGTATTAAACTGAGAACTGGAGGTTGGAGAAGGATTGAAAGACCCAAGACTAGATGGATGAACATTCTACAAAATGATTTGATTAACGGTGGAGTTTCCGAGGAACTGCTTCAAGGCAGGCTGAAATAGAGAAGAAGGATCAAATAACTGACCCCATATAGAAAGAACTAAGGTTAGAAGATGACATGATTTACTGCAATCGCAAACGTATGCCCTATAAGTGATCCAGCATAGTCAACATGGAATCACTGCCATGGCGTAGCTGATGACTTCCATGGATGCAGTGGGGCATGTTTAGACATCTCGCCGTGTTGCCATTTCCTCTTTCTGTGCATCAATCCCCAGCCACCACACACTCCTGGCCAAGACTCTCCTTTACAGTCCTAAATGGCCTCATGTAATTCTTGGAATACACAGGCCCTGAGCTTTGTAGGAATAACACTCTGGTGCCACACATTAGGCAACCTTGAGATACCCTTAACTGTTCCCTGCAAGCAAAGAAAGTTGGACACAGATGTTTCTGTGCATGAGTCCATCTACCCATTGTAATGTCAGACACTTTCCTGCTGTACCCTGGCATTTGTCGCAGGCAAGGTTTCACTTTTGGTATGTTTAATAGAACATACCAACTGTCTGGTTCAGTTTGTTATCCCTACCTGCAACTTCCAATCGCCAGTGTGAACCATAGTCGCTGAGTTTTTTTTCACCAGTGGATGCTGCGCCCCCTCGCCAACCCGAGACCCCGCTCCGCCCCCTCCACTGAGGCCCTGCCCTCGCTCTGCCTCTTCCCACCCCTGCTCCGCCCTCTCTGATCTTCTCTCAAATGAGAAATCCCTTCTCCTCTTTCGCGTAGGGAAGCGTCACCAGCTGATTTTACAGGCAACGATGCACACCACTATGGAAGGGCCCTTTGGATACTAAAAGCTTTATGGCCTCATCAAAAGCTGTGGGGCAGTCTGGGGACCAGCACCTTCTCTGTCCATTGTGTCAGAGTGCACTTAGGGGTTGTTGCTCTGTCAGGCATACAGCGCAGGACCTCCTCCTAAACCTCTTTAAATTGTCACTAATAATCCTGCTCTAAAATTAGACACCGCGGACCCCTGTACCAAGCTCCATTTCGAGTCCTATTCCTTCCACTTGTAAAGGAATCCATCCTTTATGGTCTTCCACATTTAACAGTTGTAGTGATGCTATAGCGTCCTCACTGGACTCCAGGCTGTCATTTGCAAACTGGTGAATGTTCAAATCTCTGGCATTGCTCTCAGGAGGGGGCTGTTGTGTTGACCTGCATATTTTCTCTGCGGAGCCCAATTTGTTGCAGTTTTTGCAAGATTTGTTCTTGACCCAACAGTCACTGAAAGACTCTTTCACACAAAGAAATAATGGGTCTGGGTGCTCTTCAGGTTGTACTTCCTCCTTGTCCCCCACTTTAGTTGCTGCATAGATGATATGAGGCTGTCGCAGCTCCTTGGCATCCTTGTAGCTGTGTCCATTCATACAGTAACTTTTACTGCAGGTTTTAGGGTCAATTCAGTCTCCGTCAATAGCTGTTCTCAGATTGCTTCATTGTGCATCCCACACACTAGCCAGCCCCTTAATGCATCATTGAAACTTTGGGGAACGGGGGATCTTGTAGAATCTCAACCACTGCTTTGGCTGCAGGCTTAAGCGGAGCTGTTAGGCTATGCAGCATGTGAGATGTTTTGGCCCCATTGCACTCAGTGAAACCCCCACCTTGTTTCATCAGTTATCCCATGAGCTATGCTAGGCTGTTCCAATCTCTCATTATAGGTGGACCAGGACTTTGCTGAGCTCCCAAACAAGTCAATTTTCCCCAAATAGCCTTTAACCCCTAAATGAGCTGGTCACTCACAGTCACAGTAGCTGCAATTTCACTGTCACTCAGCCCCTAGTGCCCTGTGTTCCTGGATTAGGGTCCCATCCTCACCACCAGTCATTGCGGGTTGTGCTCTTTATACAACATCGGTCATAAGAACGAGCCAGCTGGGCATGGTGGGCTCCAAATGGCCACACCATGCCAGGCCTCCCTACACACACCTCGCAGCTCTGGCTGGTGACTGGCAGTTTCAAGAACATAGACAGCAACAGTAGAGAGCAAAACCTATTTAAAGGGGTATGACCCTATTCCCATATGCTCCATTAGCCTTCTTGGTTATAGAGAAAAGCTTGAAAACATGATTCCCAAAGGCCCAAAAACCAGAAAGGGAAAACCACAGACATACACGTCATAATTTTTTAAAAGTGTCAGAATTTTTAAGCCTGTCTCATGATTTTGGGGTCTTGCTCCCTGATTTGGAATGCGTGGGGTTGGCAGCACTGCAGCGGCTATACCTGCAAAGTGACACTGAATTGCCAAGGGAGTTCTTGTTCTCTAGCGCATTGTATGCGAGCCCCGCACTGTACTGAACCCACCTGGCAGAACAGACTGTGGGAATGGCAGGGGAAGGCACATCCATGGGGAGAAAGGGAGGGTTGGGCTGACTCAGGTGTCAGGCCACGTCTCTGCACGACAACAGAGTATGGAAGGCTGTCCGCAAGGGAACACAGTGATTTTGTTCAGATTCAGCACAGGGAAAGGGCTGGTCACAAACGCAAGCACTTCCAAAGAGGCTGGTGCAACAGCTGCTGCCTTAGGCCCGTCCCACTTGCTGTCACTTCCGCAGGCATTGAGGGGACCCC